TGCTGTAGGATCTTGTTGGGCGACTAGGGAATCTTCAGCGTTCATGTATTTTTGGGCTTTGGAAAGTAGGGTTGCCATGGAGGTCGGGCGATTTTTGGAGAGGGAGAAAAGGAAATCAGATGATCGTAGGCTGGCCTGGCGCTGGGCTCCAATGAAATGGCTGAGAAAGGAGTCACTGAGGTGCTGGAAGGTGAAAACAGAGTCTGCTGGCAATTGACTAAACCAGAGTCGAGCCGACCCCTTGAGTGTTACGGGGAAAGCCCGACACATGATTTCATTAGAGAATGCATGGAGGATCATGAGGGTTTCGTAGGTCTCAAAGTGATCGATTGGGTCTGATGTACCGTCGAAATAGTCGATCCTGGGCATTTTAAACTTAGAAGGTAGAGGTTTGTCCCGGATGGAGGCAACGAATGGTGAGTTGGTTGTGGTAGATGGTTTATTCGGTATATTCTGCATGACTCCTTGGAGCTAGAGCTTCATGGCTCGAAGTTCTGCATCCCAGAAAGGGACATTGTCACCTCCGGACTGGAGCGGAGGCTGGACGCTACTGGCCTCGCCCTCAAGGGTGGGTGCCGGGGCTGATGGATGTGGGACTCGAAGTGGAGAGTTCATATCTGGGGGAGGGGGTTGCAAGCCTTCCAAGTTGGGTGGATGAGGCTGCTGGATAGTATAGCTCGGGGCTCGTTCTTGGTTGGGTGGAATATCTGGAGGTGGTGGAGGAGGCATAGGAAAGTTTCTTTGGAGTAGAGCATTAATCAAGGCTTGGTTTTGCTCGGCCAAGCGGTTAATGCTGTTGGTGAGCTCAGTGAAATACTGTGGGGGGTTGTTTGGATTAGGATGGTCGGCAACATTGTGATGGGAAGCCATGGATCTAGTCGTGACCATCCACCTTAGTGGGTGGCAAGAAGAGGTTATTGGGAAAGGGTCTCCGGCGGCAATGAGCACAACTGGCACGCGAAACAGAAAGGATTCCCACAGACAGTGCCAACTGATGATGCAGCATGTTCCAGATGGAACGGGTCGGACTGATCCGCGCTTCCCAAACCAATGCCCAGGGTTCCAAGCCCACCAGAAGACCTGTACAAGAGTTCAGCGGGGAACGGGGAGTCCCCTAGCGAACCCTCCGACAAGCAAGTTAGAAAAAGCGATGGAATCTGGAGATAGATTAGATATAGAAAGCTTAACCTTCTTCTTGTCTTCGACGTCTACTTATATCCTTTGGTAATCATTTCGTTGTCCCTTCCGACCTGCCGTCTTAGCCGAAAGTCTATGCTCTAGCTTGCCTTGTTCATGGTGAGGCCATTCTGTCTTGACGGGGAGGGGTTATGACAATAAATGCTATAAGGAGCTTCATTAATGGCTGATGTGCAATGCAATAACTTTGTAGGATCTTTGTCTGCTTATGTGGCCTATCCTTCACCTGCCACGTGTCTAAGTGTCATTGGTTCTTGATGCCATGTTGAGCTCCAACAACGTTGGGCTTTAGTATTTGAATTATGCATTGGGTCCTAAGTGGTGGGCTATATCTTTTATGGGCTTCCCATGTCAAGGTGAACTTACAGTGTACCCTCGGTTATTTTCCTATGCCATTACTGGTTGTTGCAAAGTGAAAACAAAACTTATCATATACATTAGTATGTTGCCCAACCAAAATCAGAGTTCATTTAAAGATAAATTACATTGGCATTCCATGTTCCTTATCTCATTTTAATCTCTATATTTTTAGTTAATTTAATTTAGAATTTTTTTTAATAACCCCAATTAAGATTTATTTATTAAAAAAAAACAGTTACTGAATTGGTTGAGATTAACTTGTTAAGTTGAGTAAGTTTATAATTTTATCTTTAAAAATATGACACATACCACTTGTACGTAATTTTCACAGAAACACCAACAGATATAATCAATCAGATCAAATTGATATAAAATCATAAATTTATGAGAAAAATCAAACCAATTAAAACTAAAAAAATCAAAATGATATGAGAGCAGAAATATAAGAAGAATTTGCTCTTCATTTAAGTATGACCAAACCTAATATGTCATTATATATTGGTAGGACAGAGAGGCATAATTATTGATATAATTAAACAGTATAATTATGGGGGAGAAGGTGATTGATAACAACCGAGAGACAGTGCATAAACCAACCTCAGCCAACAGGGTTCATCACCCTGGAGTTGTATCCATTATTGGAGCAGGTTGGTTTTGGAGCCCACATTTGAGGTGTTCCAAGGCATGGAACGGGTCGGACTGATCCACGCTTCCCAAACCAATGCCCAGGGTTCCAAGCCCACCAGAAGACCTGTACAAGAGTTCAGCGGGGAACGGGGAGTCCCCTAGCGAACCCTCCGACAAGAAAGTTAGAAAAAGCGGTGGAATCTGGAGATAGATTAGATATAGAAAGCTTAACCTTCTTCTTGTCTTCGACGTCTACTTTTATCCTTTGGTAATCATTTCGTTGTCCCTTCCGACCTGCCGTCTTGGCCGAAAGTCTATGCTCTAGCTTGCCTTGTTCATGGTGAGGCCATTCTGTCTCGACGGGGAGGGGTTATGACAATAAATGCTGTAAGGAGCTTCATTAATGGCTGATGTGCAATGCAATAACTTTGCAGGATCTTTGTCTGCTTATGTGGCCTATCCTTCACCTGCCACGTGTCTAAGTGTCATTGGTTCTTGATGCCATGTTGAGCTCCAACAACGCTGGGTTTTAGTATTTGAATTATGCATTGGGTCCTAAGTGGTGGGCTATATCTTTTATAGGCTTCCCATGTCAAGGTGAACTTACAGTGTACCCTCGGTTATTTTCCTATGCCATTACTGGTTGTTGCAAAGTGAAAACAAAACTTATCATATACATTAGTATGTTGCCCAACCAAAATCAGAGTTCATTTAAAGATAAATTACATTGGCATTCCATGTTTCTTATCTCATTTTAATCTCTATATTTTTAGTTAATTTAATTTAGAATTTTTTTTAATAACCCCAATTAAGATTTATTTATTAAAAAAAAACAGTTACTGAATTGGTTGAGATTAACTTGTTAAGTTGAGTAAGTTTATAATTTTATCTTTAAAAATATGACACATACCACTTGTACGTAATTTTCACAGAAACACCAACAGATATAATCAATCAGATCAAATTGATATAAAATCATAAATTTATGAGAAAAATCAAACCAATTAAAACTAAAAAAATCAAAATGATATGAGAGCAGAAATATAAGAAGAATTTGCTCTTCATTTAAGTATGACCAAACCTAATATGTCATTATATATTGGTAGGACAGAGAGGCATAATTATTGATATAATTAAACAGTATAATTATGGGGGAGAAGGTGATTGATAACAACCGAGAGACAGTGCATAAACCAACCTCAGCCAACAGGGTTCATCACCCTGGAGTTGTATCCATTATTGGAGCAGGTTGGTTTTGGAGCCCACATTTGAGGTGTTCCAAGGCTGTATATATATATATATATATATATACATGATGATTAAACTATATTGGCTGTTTTGTGAAGATCCTAAGACAAGCCATATGATTGGGAGATTTCCTTCAATTTTTTTATTTTTTAAAATATATATGTTACAATCACATATAAATTTTTAAAATGGGAGAGATTTCAAACAAATAAAACTTATTCGAAATAAGAATAGTCGAATTCTTGACAATTACGGGAGAAAACTTTTACTTCATTTCTTCTTTCTTCTTATTTATTTATTTTTTCTTCATAAATCCAATATTCAAATACAACCTTAAATTACCTGAATTTGTAACATAAGATTCTTGCTTATAGTAATAATCAAATATCCACTGCATATGTCTTTTTACAATCTATAGAAAATCAATTATAAATATCGCAAAAATTCTATCAAATAGAACATTCAACTATTAAAAATAAATAAAAATAAAAAAGAGTCAAATACATAGTTATAGCAATACAATAAACCTAACAAACACAAGAAATTCCCAAACAAATACATGAAGGAAAACGCGTAGGTGAAGAGAATCAAACTCCTACTCGTTACTAAGGTGCAAAGATTCTTGGCCCAATGAGCTAACCCCGTTTGTTAAATATGAAAAAGGTGCAAGTATTAGCTCAAGCCCAACTAAAAATAAGTAAAACAAATTGGTTTAAGCCCAAGTTTTTGTCCATATGGAAAGGCTAATTATAACCTCAAGCCCAAGTACAAGTAACTCTACTGATTTGGATGACTTGGTTTTGATAAGAGTCCATATTAAGGCTTTGTTTGTCATGTGTTAAAATAACACATTATTTTAGTACATTATCTTATTTTGGTCATAATCATCTTATTTGAATCACATCACCTTTCTATCATATCATTTCAAATCCAACTCAAATTTCACATTTTTTTTGTAAAAAGTCAAAAAGTATACTAATTTAGCACTTCCCAAACAACACCTAAATCATGAGTAAATACCTAAAACTATAATTGTTTGGGAAGTAGGTTGGCTTTTTGGCTATTTTAGTGTGGGGCTAAAAAGTCTTATTTGAGATAGGTTTTTTGATTTTTTTGACTTTTTGTGAGAGGAATAATGTAATGATTATGGGTTGGATGTGACATTTTGTCTTAATAAGTTAAAAAACTTATTTTGTCATTTTGTGGTTAAAATAGCTCCAAACCCAACCCAATTCAAGTTGCCAAACGAAGGCCCAAGGTCTTGTGCATCCAATGCGGGGGGGGAAAAAAAAATGATATAATTTTTACCAATTTTATGACATTTTCACCCATTTTATAACAATTTTTAATCTATATGAGTATGAAACTAAGCTTTATAATTTTGTTTTTTTTGAAAAATACTAATGAGTGCCTATGAAACATTGTTTTAGTATTAGGATTGGGATGAAAAATGCTTAATGAAATCAATAAAGAGTGCTTTAAAATAGGTAAAAAGTGTCTAATGTTCTTGTGTCTTGGGGCATTTGATAAGTTTAAAAAATAAAAAAATGAAAGAAGAAGAAATGCAATTTACTTCAAATTCTCTAAACAGCAAATTGAACTGATTGGTTTCATATAATACAAGGGCATGACAGCAATGTGTTTAAAACTAGAAAGATCACAAGTTGATTCTCTGGATTTATGGTTCTTTTTTCCTAGTTTTTGAGTCCAGCCTCAAGATATTCCCATCAACAAAAGCATTGCCAAAATTTGAAGAAAAAAAGAAAAGAAAGGGAAAGAAAAGAAAAGAGAATTATAAAATTACAAGAGAAGAATTAAAAAAATGAGCTCCTGATCATAGGAAAAATCTTATCTCTCAACTAATTCAGTATCTTCCTTGAATCTTTTTCCATTTCATTGATGGTCTTCTACATTGTCATCTCTTACTACTATCTGGCGAAGTTACATGGAGACGAGTGTTTGTTGCAGTTCCTGTTGGAATATGAACATCCCATAGCATGATTTTGGAGCAACCCTCTGCCGGGATTCCTATCAATTGTGTCTCCTCTTCAAGAACTTCATTCTTCACGAATTTAATCGTATTCTGTCGAATCAAAGATTAAAATAAAAAAAAATAAAAAGATATTCATCAATGTAAACATCTTTCATGATTTGAAATTTGACATACCACTTGAGGTTAGGTATCAATAAGAAACTACTATGCATGTTTGTTTCAAGTTTTCAAAAAAAATAAAATAAAATAATACCCAAAAAAAGGAGCAAAAAACCAAGAAAAGTTTGGTATAGTTCTCAAAAAATTTTGATTGTTTTTTTTGTTTTTTTTAGAATTAAAAACCAACAAAAGTTCGGAAACGCCCATTTTTATTTTTCGTGTGAAAACAAATTTTTAAATAATTTCCAACAAATAATTTGTCAAACACTTTTTCATATCAGTTTCTGTTTTATCAGTTTTTGGGAACAAGAAAAATATATTTTTTTTTTGCCTCTTTTTCTACTCATGGTCAATCCACTTGGTTTTATATATAGTAGTTTGGTGCATGGTTTTGGTTTCATTTTAATTTTTCTTGTTGTGATTAGTTTAGTAGATATCACCTTTCATCCCCTTAATTAACTAATGTCTTAAGAGTTTTAAAATATAAAATGGTTGGAGAGGTTGGCTAAACGAGTACGAAATTCAAAAAGTGAAATTGAAAGCTTATCTTATAGTTGTTAATTTAATGGGAATCCAGCTGCATTAGTGGATGCATGATTGATTAGGCATCCTATATAAAATATGTGGCATCATTGCAATGCAGCTAGGATTTATTACATTTTTTTTTTTTTATTGAGGTGCAACACTTTTGAATGAGTAAATATTAGATATAACAGTGATATTATGTGATGGTATTATCTTTTAAAGAATTATTGTTTTAGACCCATCTCTATAAGGTAAACTATGTGCAGCCACTCACAAATCATAAGATATTAAATAAGCTAAGATGTTGTCAGCCTGAGTTGAATATACGGCGTTCAGATTTATAAAGTCTCAGTAATAGTCTTAAATCAGTACCTGATGAGTTATGATTTTGTTTACTCTACAAACACAAGATCAATCACTGAACATGCATAACTAAGATCAACATATAAATGGTAATTGATTTTGTGTCCCTTGTATTTTTGCAAAGTAAAATGATACTTCTAGTGAGGTCTAGGAAATGTCACAGGTCAAGTGTGATGAACAAAATTTCCAATTAACTGCCCATTGAAACCATGACTAAACTTTAAAGTTGGTGAAATGGTGTTATCATCTTGACTCAAGTTTTCTATTTATTTGTTTGAGTTGCAATCAACTCTGAAGCACCGACAATTTTACCATATAAAATATCGATATTTTTTGAATATTTATGACTATTGTACGGGGAGGAAATAATTCTCCTCGTATAATCCTGTTGACCAAGTCCACGCTCCTCCGTACGACGTCGCTTTGTCACCTGAAAACACAAACGTGAGCTAGCCGGCGGGTGTGTGCCGGAAACCTCTCCGATGCCTAAGTCAGAAAACTTGACAAATTCTTGACTCAAGTTTTCTTTTTATTTGTTTGAGTTGCAATCAACTCTGAAGCACCGACAATTTTACCATATAAAATATCGATATTTTTTGAATATTTATGACTATATATGCTCAGACATATATATAACTAGTTGCTGATCTACAATAGGCAAAGAAGGATGGATGCCTTTTAAAAATGATATTTTTACTTAAAAGTTTACTCCTTATATCTTTTAAAGGCCCTCACTCCTTTTCTTTTTTCTTTTGTCAACTAAATTAAATATTTATATTGTTTTAAAGGCTGGACAACAAAGTGTGCTAGTAGTCTCATATTCAAGTTTCTTTTTTATTTTTTGTTACACCAACTCATGAAATACGGATACTAAGAGTCATATATGTATTAGATATAAATATTTTTTAGATATTTGTAAATACGTATATACATGCTTGCAACTTAAACAACAAAGTACAATTCTTGGGGGGCGATAGGCTTACCTGTGTGGTGTCTTGAACAGATGAAGGGCGACCCCATCTTTCAGGGTCCCAAAGGATTGAACTGTTGAATGCAAAGCTCGAAATATGAACAGGTGATTTTACGTCTGTCAAATTGTTCATCTTTCTCAAATGCCATCCTACAACTTCTGAAGAATCGCATACAGGTCCTTCAATTATCACCCTATTCCTGTTTGCAGATACCAATGCCATTGGCCATGTCCCAAACACCCTGCAAAATTGTCCCAAGTTCACAATTAATCATTGATTTCTCACAATTATTTATTGAGTACTCAATGGGTTATTAAGACTGAAGACTTCGTCGGTTAGTATGGATGTTGATAATAAAAGCTCAATTGATTGTGGGATTTGAGATCTTTTCACTGACCCAAATTTGAAATAAAAGTATTTTTGATATTTTTATACTCATAACCTGTTATCCTAATTCTATATATATGTAGTTGAGGGGATAACTTTTTTGATCATCGTAGAACGGCAACAATTGTAAACATAATTCTAATTTTGAAGTGAATTAAGTAAATTTTATACATTTATTTTTCTCTTTTTTCATGTCTTGCCGATCCTAAGTGTTTCGGATTCCTAACATAATTTTCTTTTCTTTCTTTTGATCTAATCTCAAGAATATTGTTTGGAAGCAAGGTTGGTAGCTCTAGGTGCATTATATTGACATACCAGACCAAGTCCTCCTTTGCAAACCTAGGGTTTTTAAAAGTTGAGTAAAGATTCTATGGTTGTCTAAAGCCATTTGGAACCATAATGGAAGTGGAATATCTTTAACAATCTTTTTGGAATAATCAACGACATTAATGCTAACAAAATCAGATTATCTAAAGATCCACTAGTTTTCCAAGAAAATAGATGCCCAACTAAAATATTGCAATATAAGAAAAAGAAGAGACATAATAATGATCCATACCTTAAAGGAACTTTGTCATGACCAAAATAATTTCATGGTAAAGAATGAATTATATATTTTTAGTTTTTGCTTTAAGGTGTAATGGTTAGTGATACCAAAAAAATGTCTAGAAAATAATATGTATGCCATAAATTTAAATTTGGTATCGTGTGAATCATACTTAGAATGAATCTTATTTAAACGTTTAATTTTATGAGATAAGAACTTGTTTGTATACACTTTTATGTGTATAGTATTGCCATATTAAAAACAGAAAAAACTAAATATTTAGAAAATTGTTGAAAATTTATGTATAAAATGTCTAAAGAACAGCTTGTGACAACCTTATCTAAATGTAATTATAAAATGTAATAATTGCCTAATGTCAAATTGATATTGCCTACAAAACAGGACGGAAAACCTGACCATTTTTGATTAATTCTCAATTTCAGCAGTTAAATAGAACTTAGTGGTTATGAGCTTTAGAGAAGAAGCTTTTGAGAATCAACAAAATTAGGCAAACCTAATTGTGATTTGGTAACTAAAAGTTTCATGTTTGGTAGACTTGTGGGGGCTCAAATTATTAGCTGACACTTACTTTTGTTGAAAATATATTTATCCAAACAATAAGTGGAACTTTGAACACTCCACCCACCAGCCTGCACTATTTCATCTTCAACCTCTCTTGATTTTTCCTCTCCCTCTTGGATTTGAAGATAAACAGAGATAAATTAAAAATTAGTTGAAGTATCACTTTCATTTTTGTTTTCTGTTCATTTTTTGGAAAATGATTAATTATATTTTTAATTTCCAAAGTAGGAATCTTGTGTTATTTTGGCCTCTAATATTTAAATTGTGTCAATATGATCCTCAATTAGACTGGGTGATGCAATTGAGAGACGCAATTGAAATATTTGTTTATATATCGGAGACCGATTGACACAAACATTAGCGACTAAATTGAAAACTGATACATTTTTTTATACATTTAAGACCAGATTGACATAATTTAAACATTGGGGACCAAATTAAAACATTTTTGTATATTAAAGCCCAAATTAACATATAACTTAAATATTGGAGACTAAAATCAAACAAGGCTCCCAAATAAAATTGTAATTAGTCCTTCAAAAAAACACAAAAAGAGAGTTCTTTGTCAAACTATTTCAAAAACTTCACAGATAAATTTTCTGAAAAGAACCCATTGAAACACCCCAAAAAAATTATTTTTGAATGATCTTAAAGCTACTTTCTCACAATAATGAAAACGGTGTGTATTTTTAAACTTCTTGCATGTTTTTGTTTTGAGAAACACAAAAAATGAAAGTAAGTAAAACGAAAACAAATACCAAACAAGATAATCATAGCTAGAGAAAAGATAAAAACGTACTCAATTCCTCTAATCTCATCAAAGAAGCTAAGATCATAAACATTGGAAAGCCCTGCAAAATGAACGATCCCACTTAACCGGTGATGTTCGATGTGATTAAGCGCGAGGTTCCTCTGATGATCCATTTCAACTTCTACATCAGTAAAATTCTCCTTAAACACCACATGCCTATACATAATCCCAGTTTTCCTTAGTATTTCCGACACTTCATCGGACTCACATTGTTGCTCCACCACAACCCACAACAATGGTGGAGGAACCAATCTCAACGTGTTCGATAACCGCCTCAAATTCACACCTCTTGTCTGATCTTTCATACTAGTAGGTGTGACAACAATTATGAGTCTTCTAGTAACCAACTCATCAACTTCTTTATATTCTTCCTGAATTTTTTCACTAGTTGAGTCATCAGAATTATTAGTAGACCTTGATGTTGGCTCTGCCACTGGAGTTTCATCCAATAGAGTTCTGTTGGAGCTCCCGCTCACAATTTCTATGGGTTGTGGCGAAAATGCTGATCGTGTCGATGAAAGGCTAGAAAAAAACGATGGCTTACCCGTTGGAGCGAAGCCGGTGAAAAATCCCATGACAAAACATAACAAGAAATGGACAATTGCTTTCTTGTATAATTGGACCTTTTTCTTCGATCTTTCTGTCAAACCCATCTTGGGACAGTGGCCGGAATCTGACTTTTCCGGTGAATTTTCTGGTGAACTTGAATGAATAAAATAGTTTTGGAAGGAACAAGAATGGTAGAGGGCTCAAAAATGTCAAGTGGGGCTTTATATTTGAAAGTTGGAAAGACTGCACAAATTTTAATTTTAATTTTTTTTGTTTTTGTTTTTGTTTTTGTTTTTGTTTTTGTTTTTAAATATGGCGGGAGCCAACTGCCATATGATTAGTACTGGTGAACTTAACATGGTTGTGTTTTTTTGGTTTCGAGTACTTCATTGGTTAGAGATTGCTTAACAAAGTCATACCTTGAAATTAAAGAAATATGATAAGTAGTAAATAAAAATGAGGGTCTGAGTTGATATCAGCACCAACTAGTTGTTGAGAGATGCAAACACATCAACTACACTCTTTTGGGGACTGGAAAAAAAAAAAAAACTTATAATTTAAATAATGAATGGTTGGGATGGTTTGTTTGGAGTTGACCATGATGAAATGGAAGAATGACACATTAACTTCATGTGAAACTAATCCGGGATTGGCCTGGTGGTTAAAATGTTTCTTAATTAAACGTAATGTTTGAATTTTAGTTTAATTATTGTGAATGTAGTTTGTTAGCTTCATTCCCATTATTCTCATAGGAAAACTATATTTGGATTTTTTTTTTCAAAAAAAAAAAAAACTATGTTTAGAGAAATATTTAAATTGTTTTAGAATTATCAAAAATTGTTCATGCTAAAATGAAGATGATATGAAGAAGGTTTTTCTTTTTCAAACTACTCTCTGTTTTTTCTTTTTCTTTTTCTTTTTTGGGTTTATACATACACGAGAAACAAAAATAATATTTTGAATTAACATATAAAGATTTTAATGTATTATTGTTTACAGGACAAGACACAATTATAAAGTATACAATTCCTTTGCAGGGAAGAGGAAAAAGAAAGAGGAGAGTTTGTAAAATGAAAACCGATGGCATATATCATTTTTGTACTTATGCAAGATAGCTAAAGCAAATGAGTTACAAGTATTTTATTCACCAATGTATACAATAGCTATGATTGGTAAATGATTTGTGATTTGAGAATGAAATGTTGCATTTTCATTAACCAAATTGATAGGCACAAGAGTGACCCACCTAAAGATAAAAAAAGGTAAAACCTCCTAGCCATGAATTTTCTATTTTTTGGTAGTGTGAATCATGAGTTTCACACTTCATAGGTTGGGTCCAACATTAACCAATTCGAAGGCAAAGAAAAGGAGAATAAACTTAAACATCAAGAATTGTTGACTACTTCATGATGATATTTGATGTTTGTTGTGATAGCTTCATACATACGTTGTTGTTTGTATTGAAAACCAGGTTGGGTCCCATCCAACCGTCGCTCTCATGTGAATCTCCATTCTGTATTTTTAACAAGGGTTAATTACACTTTATCCCCTTGTAATTTTGTTAAAAAAACATGACTCCTTTATAAATCATAAATGTACACATAACCACCTTTTAATTTGGACGGAAGTGTAATTTATGACTCTATTAACGAATTTTACAAAGTTCCTATAGTACCTTTACTGCTTTATTTAATTTTCGTATATCTACCACTCCCTTCTTTTTTTTTCCCTCTCTCTCTCTCTCTAAAAGCCAACAATTTGATTTTATCCTTCTTTATCCCCCCGTACTAACTCATCACTTTCTTTTAATACGAAATTTTATTTCTCATAATCTAAGTAAATCAACTTCATTTATTTTGGCATGGGGTTGCTATGGGATAGCCATAGCTGCTGTACGAAGTAGCGAACGGAACTGTTGCCACTATGGGGTTGAGGTTTATGGTAACCATTAGTAGCTCTTGAGTGGTTGGTGGTTGAAATAAATCCATGTCTTTCATATTAGTTTCAATGGCAGATTATACATATCAATTTCAATCTATTGTACTACTACACTGTATTTGGAAAAATGAGTTTTAAGGGCTGCTAATCAACCATTCAACATTAATAAAAATGCAGGAATAAATAACTAAGCACACATTTGCATGTGTTTTCCATCTTTAATTAGTGTCTTTATGCTAGCCTCATGATACTTATTCACAATCACAATTCTGGGTTTTTCTCATTTTAAATTTGTTCAACACAGTTAACTTCACCTATGATTTCCATCTTCAACACTGAATGGTGCTTGGTGATTGATTCAATTATGGTGGCTTGATGCTGGTGGTAGCGGATGTAAAAGAATCTGGTGGTGGTGGTTGAGGAGGGTAGAAATGAATGGTGAGGGTTGAGGAAGAAAATAGAAAAAAAGTGGGAAAATGTTTTAATAAGGATTATATAATAGTTTTACCCCCATACTTCTATTGTAGCATAATTGCCACGCGCCTCACAACCCTTGACCAATACGCACTGTTAGGTTTAACGGATTCTGCTTGTTTTATGCTTAACTCTAAATCATAAGAGAGTTATGTGCATGTTTCTAAATGATAGGGGAGTTATATGTTTCCGAGCCAAACTAGAGGGGGTTAAAGTGTAATTAACCCTTTTAACAAAGGGCAACTTCAACTATTGTGGAGTTTTTCATACTACATCCATCCACTGCAGATCGAACAAGGACATGCCATATCATTAGCCTCTGCTTGCAAACTAGCCGAGCTCCAAGGAGGGAGAAAGGAACAAGGATCATGCTCTCAAAGAAGTGGCAGTCCAAATCTTATCTAAATTCAGAGAAACCCTAACTAAGCCGTGCCATAAGAGATCATTCTCCAAATGGGAGAGGGCCAATCCTTTAGGAAACTAACTAAACCGTGTCACAAGGGTCATTCTCCAAATGGGAGAGGGCAAGGCCTTTAGAGGGGTCCAAATGGAAGAGGGCCAAGCCTTAGAATGTTTATGTAGGTTGGGTGACAAAACGGCCAAAATACTCAAGGGTATATGAATCAGGATAACAAATGTTGAGCATGCAACGCAAAGGGTCTTCACTGGTTTAGTACTCTTTAAGAACTTCCAAATTGGTCACAAACACAATTTCTGTGTTTAGTTTGGGAATTTGGAAAGAGATTTAGAAAAAGAAATAGAACAGATAGGTGAAATGTGAATAAATCATGCCTATATTTCACATAGTTTCACACACATTTTCCCTTTCCCTTTCCAAATCCCTCCCAAAATCCCCCAACCAAACACAACATAAATCTCATAAAGAAATCAAAGTATTCTTCCATGCACCATCCCTAGTTACAAAGAAATCAAGTATTCCACCTTTCATACTATTAGTAATTTACATAACCCCACATAACCTTGTAGCAGGACCAAAACCATTACAAGTCGCAAAGAAATCAAAGTATTCCTCAGCAATTTACATGACCACACATGACCTTGTAACAGGAGCGGTCTTATACATATAATAACATGAAATATATCATTCAACCATCGTATATGTCCATAGCCCCATTTCTTCCACATATACCAAGCAATAATCAGGCTTAAACAAATTGGAAAAATTCACAATAAAACAAGGCACAAGTAAAACATAAAGATGCATCCAAATGTAAGAGTTCAAATACTTGGATAAAAACTCAAGAGACAAATGTAAGAGTTCAAATACTTGGATAAAAACTCAAGAGACTTACAAGTTCACATCCGACCCAAATTTCATCACTCAAAACTAAAAACTACAGATACTAGAAAAATAGAATACCACGAAAAACACTTTTGTGACTGCCTGCCTGTCGAGAACTCAGATCTGCACCTGAATGTTTAACACCACCACCATTCCCCCAAAGGAGGGCTATTGAGCAGCTACAAGATCCAACAGAACATAAAAACAAAATTTACCAAATTTAAAACAGAATTTACCAAATTTAAAACAGACAATAAGTCTACTTCTCTTAATATGAAAACCCTTAAATGAACCGATCATTTCTTCTTCTGAGCAGCCTTGGTGACCTTGGCACCAGATGGATCCTTCTTCTCAACACTCTTGATGACACCAACAGCAACAGTTTGACGCATGTCTCTCACAGCAAAACGACCAAGTGGTGGGTACTCGGAAAAAGTCTCCACCACCATGGGCTTTGTTGGAATCATCTTCACCATCCCAGCATCACCGTTCTTCAAGAATTTGGGCTCCTTCTCGAGCTCCTTCCCAGACCTCCTGTCAATCTTGGTCAGAATCTCAGCAAATTTGACTGCAATGTGGGAAGTGTGGCAATCGAGAACTGGGGCATAACCATTTCCAATTTGGCCAGGATGGTTCATGATAATGACCTGGGAAGTAAAGTTGGCAGCTTCCTTTGCAGGATCGTCCTTGGAGTTTGAGGCAACAAACCCCCGTTTGAGATCCTTGACAGCAACATTTTTTACATTGAAACCAACATTGTCGCCTGGTAGGGCCTCCAGGAGAGCCTCGTGGTGCATTTCTACTGACTTAACTTCAGTGGTGAGACCAGTTGGGCCAAAAGTGACAACCATGCCGGGTTTGATTAAACCAGTCTCAACACGGCCAACAGGGACAGTGCCAATGCCACCAATCTTGTAGACGTCCTGAAGTGGGAGACGGAGAGGCTTGTCCGAGGGCCTCTTGGGTTCCGAAATCATGTCAAGGGCATCGAGCAGGGTTGGGCCCTTGTACCAGTCAAGGTTGGTTGACCTTTCAATCATGTTGTCACCCTCAAATCCAGAGATTGGGACAAAGGGGATCTTGTCAGGGTTATAACCCACCTTCTTCAGATAGGAAGACACTTCCTTAACAATTTCATCATACCTTGCCTTTGAATACTTTGGGGTTGTTGCATCCATCTACAATGGAAAGATGAGAAGAAATTAGCAAAAAAGCAATGATTACAAAGGGTTTTATCATCAAAACATAATATTATGCAATTGAGGTAGAAAACTCTGCTCCTGCCAAATCCATTAGTTCTTTGGAACGTCCTCTTAACGCATCACTGAGAACTTGTTCAATAATGACGCCAAACATCATGCCACCTGCCAATGCCAGCCACTAAACAAGGGCAGACTTTGCCCCACCTTAAATCAATCAAGCATATCAACATAGCAGGGTGACGGTTCATTCATTACCTTGTTGCAACAGCAGATCATTTGCTTGACACCAAGGGTAAAGGCAAGCAAAGCATGCTCACGTGTCTGACCATCCTTGGAAATACCAGCTTCAAACCCACCAGTTGTTGAGTCAATGATAAGGACTGCACAGTCAGCCTGTGAGGTACCAGTGATCATGTTCTTGATAAAGTCACGATGGCCAGGGGCATCAATGACAGTGCAGTAGTATTTAGTGGTCTCAAACTTCCACAAAGCAATATCAATGGTAATACCACGTTCACGTTCAGCCTTGAGCTTGTCCAAGACCCATGCATACTTGAATGAACGTTTGTTCATCTCAGCAGCTTCCTTCTCAAATCTCTCGATGACACGCTTGTCAATACCCCCAAGCTTGTAGATCAAATGACCAGTGGTGGTCGACTTCCCAGAGTCGACATGGCCAATGACCACGATGTTAATGTGAACTTTTTCCTTACCCATTTATCAAAACCTGAGAGAGAATAAAATTTAAAATGAGAAAACTAAAATTTCAACAGAACATAAATAAAAACTTGATAATAAAGTTCAACAAGTACGTAAAAGCAGCAGGACAGATGAAATCTTATTCAGTACTCCAACCAAAACATTAGGCCTTTAACAACAGGCTGTAACATTGATTTTACTCTGAAACTACTGTCTATATTATCTTTAAAAGAGGAACACACACAAGAATCCAACTCGATAAAAACAGCAAAAACCCTGTCACCTCTCCATTCTACGTCCAATACAATACAAAAAAGAAAATGAACAAGGAAGTAACGGAAGACCACCATTACTTTTCCATGCAATTCCGTCCACAGTAATTTTTTCACTGCATGCCACCATTCATAATGTAGCTTTATTGTGAAGAGTGGTGAAGAATTATGATGCCTCAGCACTATAATTCAGAACCAATGGCTGCATTCACTATTCTCATTGAAAACCAATTTCCATATAATACAGGAAGAACACGAGAACCATAACTTGTTCCTGATTTTCCTTGTTCAAATTTCATTTAGAAACAACTGATCTATAATGCAACATGACCATATTCTCCAAAAACTCTCCATTATCATTTGCAGTATCTAAAAAAATCTCTGGAGATAACATCACTTTTTTACCCACAAAAAAAAGTCCACAAGAAACCAACTTTATCTGAAAACATTGCACAACAAAAAGTACAACACCCAAAAAAAGTCCCCCAACTCTGGAACATCATTTTCTGGCATTTTTTTTTAACTGGACATTTTCTTGTGCAATTTTTTTTAAATAACATCAATATGTTAAAACTTTTTGTTGACTTCAAAATTTGATACAATACCTTGAACAAAAGAGAGGGAAAAAAAAAGCAAAAAATATTTGAAAAATCAACTTGAAAGTTATTTGCAAACCAATATGAGTAACCGCACACTTTTAAGATGGCTTTTGTTTTAGTGATATCTTTTTCATTTATTTGTGTTTTAAGCCCCAAAAAATATTTAAAAAAAAAAAAAAAGTTAAATTTGAAATTTAAAAAAATATATATTTATCTGAAAATTTTCAAGTTCCTCAAATTAGATCCAACTTTAAAAAAATTTTGGGTCTTCTAATCTATAACACTTAAAAAGTACAAAATTACAATAAAAATCATAACATATATAAAGACAAATTAACCAAAAAAAAAATAAAGATGGCCTTTTTCCTGCTTGATTTGTAAATAATATTTTATATTTTAATAAAAGAATTAATTCACCAAAAATACACAAACTTCAGAATCCAACTCGCTAAAATAAAAACAAGCACTTTCCATAAAATCCATACAAAGTACATACATATACCTACAGTATAAACCAGCTACTTAGCTCATAAAACCGATCGATCACAAGAACATCATGCAGATCGAGATCGAGATCGAGATCGAGATATACTTGTATACTACAGACATCAACTCGAAGAAACAAAACCAAATCACAAGCTAATCGATAATGTATATATTCAATTCGATACGTATAACACAAAAATCATAATTCACAAAAAAATTGACATACCAAGCAAGATCAGTATGAATACATACATGTATAAACTGATAAAATGAATTCAGAAATAGAGATAAAATTAAAAAGATCGAACCTTTAGACTACGAAAAGACTATTGAAGAGAGAGAGAGACAGAGAGAGTGAGTTGGGATCGATCGGCTTGAAGCTCTCTTGCACAAGAGACAGGGCCGAGAGCAAGCGCAGAGAGGGGGAGAAGTATGAGCCTCAGAGCTGCTTATGTACTGCCATAGCTAGGGTTTTTTATTAGCCATCGGATTGTTCTTTGATCCGACGGTGGAAAAAGGTCCCAATCCATGGCCGCCACGTTAGTGTGAGGTGACTAGATTCCGATACAAATTAAGGTCTGTTTGGCAACACACACACAAAAAAAAAAAAAAAAAAAAAAAAGTTTTTTTTTTTTTTTTTTTGATTGATTGACTGATAATCAAGAAAAATTAATCATCTTGTTTGATTTTGGTTTTCAGAAAATACTTTTCAAAATTTTATTTTTTTTATTTTTTGTTTTTTTTTGTTTTTCATTAATTTTTTTAATATTTTAAATAATTTTTAAAATTTTTAGACACACCTAATATAAATACACTTAAAAAGTATAATATTTATGAAAAAAACTTTTAAAAATTTACTAAATACCAATAATATCAAAAAAAAATACTAAAATTCAGTAAATTTTCATATTTTTGTGTATTTATTAATTTTTTAAAATATTTTTCACAAATATTTTAATATTTAAATACATCTAAGTAAGGTGTATCTAAAAATATAAAAAAAAAATTGCTTAAAATTTTAAAAATATTCATTAAAAATAAAAAAATGCGAACAACAAAAAACTCAATTCCCAAAAAATTAAATTCAAAAAACTAAAACCAAACACACTGAATATTTTAACAAAATCTTTTTTATTTGTCAAGTGCAAGTATTTTTCAAAACTTTTTTCCTTTTATGAAAAATTTTAAAACATCAAATTCTTTTAGCAACAAATCTCAAAAAATAAAATACTTAAAAATATAATTAGGAAAATAACTTGAGGGTGTGATTTGGGACCTTAAATTACAAGCAAGTATGAACGATTTTATAATTATAGTTGAAATGAGTTTTATAAAAAAAATTATAAAGAAGTGAAAATCACCTTATCAATTTACCAAAATACTTTTATCTCTTATTTTCATCATCTTTCTCCTTGTTTTGAAACTTTGATCTTTGATTCCCATCATCTACAACCATTACTCCTATCCTTCTGTTCAAAAAAAAAAAACCATTACTCCTATCCTTTTTTTTTTTGACGTGTAAGTGCATGGATAAAACTTGCACTCATGCACACTCTAGACTTGCATCCAACCAAAAAAAATGTAATAACATAAAAAGGGGTGAGAGGTCGAGACGAGGTGTGCTTGAATGGGGTTGAAGTGTTTCGATGACTATGATTTTGATTGATTAGTTTGTTGGATGGAATAAGAATGGATTAAGACGAAAAATAATGTGAGTGTCGAGAATAGATGAATAAAGGGTTAGTAATAGTGCCCAAGCGGTTGGGTGTTGGGCAATGAGTTGTCCAAGTGTTTGTTAACGATAAAATTGATGGTTGAAAGTTTAGAACAAAAAAAAGGAAGACTAGGGTATTTTGATAAATGAATATGGTTGATTGTCACATTTTACAATCAGTTAAGTGAACCCCGTTTGAACTGTTACTAAAAAAAATTTAAATTTTTAACCCTAAATTCTATGTCCAAGTTAATTCACATTATAATTCACTAATCATTTGAAATGACCGCTCCTCCATTACTTCATTTTGTAATGCCCACTTTACCTTGATAATATTACAAATATTAATTGGTGTATTAAAAAATTTATTAATCGAGACACAAAATATTCATATGGGATATCTCACTTAGGTCAAGTTCGATATACTTAAAAAAAGATAAAAAATTAAAAAATTACTATTCTATTTAAGTCACATCACTTCTTTAGCGCATCACTGCAAACCCAACTCAAACCCAATCCATATTTCATAAAAAGTCAAAAAGTGCACTTATTTAGATCATCCCACACAACCCCTTAATGTTCGGCTCACTTAACATTTTATCTAATTGGTATACTTAGGCCTCGTTTGGGAACAAGCTATTTTAGTAACTTTTTGACTTTTTACGAAAAGATGTGCAGAAAAGTAAAGAGGTGATGTGACTAGTTTTAGTTGACTTTTTGACTTTTTGGCTAAAATAGTCAGTCCCTAAACGAGGCCTTATTTCATTAATTAGTTAGTGTTTGGTTTATGTTTAGAATTATGATTTAAGTGTGGAGTTTTATTTTGAGTTTGTGAGTTTTGAAATTATGATTTTAAAAGAAAAAATTTGTTTGGTTATAAGTTTTGAATTGAATTTTGAATTGATTGTCGAATTTTTGAAATGAGTGTTGAGTTTGTGAAAAGCTATTTGATTATGAGTTTTGAAAAGAGTTTTTAAAACTTAATTCAAAAACTTATAACTCATAACCAAACACACAACTTAAAACTCTATTGACAATTCTATTCAAAACTCATAATCAAACTCTTTTTAAAATTCAATTCAAAAAAATAATTATCAAAAAAAATAAATTTTTATTTTAAAAAATTAAAAAATTCTAAAAATATTTTTTTATTTAAAATATTAAAAAATATTATTATTTGTTAACAAAAATATTTAGCTAGTGCTTTAAAATTACTTTTGATTGTATATTCGGTTGAAATTTTTTTTAATTGTTTTGTTTAAAAATGTTTTTTTATTTTTTAAAATTTACTGTGACAAATTAATTTTTATTTCAAATTTTTTTTGTTAATTTTAAATAAATGTCCAAATAAATTGTCATTTTGGTCTCAAAAAAATATTTTCTATATTTAAAAAATATCAAAAACAAATATATATATTTTTTTTCAAGATAACAAGTACCAATTGCTAAGAGGAAAAAAAAATAATGTTCCGGTCAACTAGCCGGATGATCAGCCGAACGTCTGGGAGGATGTTCGGGAGGGACGATTAGGTAGACTCAAAAATTCAAAAATTATTTAGGATGATGTCCTGGCAAACAATCAGGTAGACAAAAAATTAAAAAAATCTCTGGTTTACCAAACATGTCCTCAAAATATGTTTTGAAATTGATTTAAAATCATAATTTGAAAACTGTAATCAAACAAAAAATTGATTATTAATATAAAATCATAGTTTGAGAATCAAACCAAACATCGCCTTAATTTTTCTAGTATTATTATTGTTTCACCTTTGAATAAACCTTATATTATGACACTTTGTGTTCAGTGAAAAGTATCTATTATAACTGTAACTCCACATCAACTTAGTTCGTTAAACTTATATAAAATTTTAGAGAAATTATACAAAAAAAAAAAAATTATAAGATTTGATCATTGTAATAAAATAAATTTTGAGTTTCATAATTTTTTTTAATTTAAACTATAATATTTTGATTTATTTTTAATTTAAACCATCTCCCTATTTTCATTAAATAAAATTGATGAAAAATATACTTTAGTCATTAAACTCAATGAAAAAAATAATATTTTAGACATTTTATATACACTTACATTGAGTTTAATAATTAAAATATAATTTTTTCATCGATTTTACTTAACAGAAATATGTTAATGATTAGTGGACAAAATTAAAACTCATAATTTATTTTGTTACAAGTATCAAACTCTGAACTTTTTTTTTTCAATGTAATTTCTTCTAAATTTTTACAAAACAAAGATAAATCAAATTATTCACCAAATTTATAACAATTACATTTCTATACAAATTTATTTTCTTTCATCAAAAAATGATTAAAACATATTTTAAAAACAAATTTCGATTTAAATAATAATAATAATAAAAGAAAATAAGAAAGTTGCTTTTGGTCCATTTTTAGAATTTATTTATTTTTAATGAAAAAATAGGAATTTATGACAAAAATAAACATTCAAAATTAATTATTTAAATTTTTGCATGCTGGTGGTCCGGTCGATCATCCGGCTTTGGTTTTAGTTTTCAAAAAATTTTACTTTTTTATTTTCCGTATTTTAATGTTTTAAATGAATTTTTTTAAAAAATTTAAGTATTTTTTAAAAATTTTAAATATACTTAACATAAATACACTTAAAAAGTATAATATTTGTAAATTTTTTTAAAAAACAATTCACTAAATACCAAAAAATACAAAAAAAGAAAAAGAAAAATTAGTACATTTCTCGTATTTTTGTGTATTCATCAAATTTTTTTTTAAAAAAAATACTATTTAGATACATCTAAGTAAGGTGTATTTAAAAAAAGAAAAAAAAATACTTAAAATTAAGGAAAAATTATCCAAAAATCTTATTCGGGAAAATGTTGCTCCATTTAGTCTTGAAAGTTTTCTTTCAAACCAATCAGTCATTTTACTTATGGTATATTGTTTTTGTTTAATTTGGGAGTTGTAGAGTTTACTTGTTTACTCTTAGGTGTGATTTTGGTTTTTATTTTTTCCTGATGTTTGGGTGGGTTGGTTATGGTATGGTGTTATCTTTCAAGTTTTTTATAGAGGATTGCGTGGAGTGAATTGTGGGGCTTGTAATGTTTAGCCATTTGATGTGGGGGTTGCTGATGTGGAAGCGTGGTGTTGTTGATGGTTGTGAATTTTTTTTTTTTTTAATTTTGCTACTGATGTTTGGTTGGTTTTATTAAGGTATGATGTTATGTTTCCAAATTTTTTTTGTTAGGGTTCTACCATGTTTATTGCCCAGTAGGATATCTACCATGGTCCTTAGAACTGATGTATCCAGGTGAAGCTTTAATAGTTACTGAACTCACTCAAGCTAAACGACCACTTGTAACTTAGATTACAATAGGTGCAGTTGACATGGCAACTGGTTCAGAATATCAGAGGATGCCTGTATTATTTAGAATATTCACAATAGGTACTTCATTTTCACTTAATCAAATCCATCAAAAACATGAGATGAATTAACAATTTTATGAGCTAAACAAATGTTTAAACTGTTCCAAAATGGTACAATTACTACACTGCTGATTACAAACTCAATGATGAATAATTCCCAAAGTGACCGTTAAATTTTAAAATTCCTAATAACATAATTTATTTCCTTGAAAAACAACTTGGCCCAACAATAGTTTGGGGTTGATGTTGTTGCCATTTCGTGTGGTTTTATGATGTGGAAACGCAGGTCGTTGATGTAGGTACATTAGCCTTGACGGGTCGACTGCAGGTTTCCTAACATTGTCGGTTTGCCTTTTTGTTTGTTGTATAGCAGATGCTTTTGTTTCTTCACGGCCAATCAGGTTGACGTTTGGACGGTCAAATTTGAACGGGGTCCTCCCATCCGTCTCACTGTCACATCCTTTCCTGCATCGACTACTCATCATAACAATAACTTCAAATTATTAGTCCAATTGATAGCAACAAGAACACACAAATAAAAAAATTACAAAAAAGGGAACTGCTACCTTGGATGCTTGCCAACATGGGTATGAACTTAATCACTAAACATGAACAAATTAAAAAATTCAAATTCACATAAAACTACAAACAAAAAAAGAAAAACCAACACTCTTAACACTATCACACACACAAGACCTACCACATACATGAGTCCGAGAATGCACCTTCATTAATATGCACTTTCAAAAACATGTACACAGCAAACAAATCATTGCCAACATCATGCAATCCATCAACATTCCATTAAAACTCCAACACACCTACAATTGCAAGAACACACAAATAAAAAAAAAATACAAAATGAAAACTGTTACCATGGATACTTGCAAACGTGGATGTGAACGTAATCACACATAGCCAAACATGAACGTATTACAAACTACAAAATAACAGTAAACTAGACAATCAAACAAAAAAAAAAAACCACTCTTAACACTCACATACAGAAGACCCACTACATACATGAGACTGACAATGCACCTTCATTGACATGTACTTTAAGAAACATGCACACAGCCAACAAATCACTGCCAATAACATGCAAGCCATCAACATTCCATAAAAACTCCAACATACCTATAATTGCGCACACTGGCGTAATGGATTCATTAATACAACGGAAGTTGGTTAATATTTACTAACATGGAAATCACACGTTCTAACGTTTGCGTGGACAAACGTAATCAAATCCTACACAAAAGGTGTCAAAATCTTTTATCACCAATACAACGAAAACCCACTCAAACCAAACACATTTCAGAGGGCTTCCGTTAAGCATCATAAGCATCTACATCACTATAAAAATTCCCTTCCACTAACATGGACATCCAAAACAATCCACATCATTACTAACACAAATGCAACTGCAAAAAACATGGGACTTATTGATTGCATCACAACAAAACAAGACAACCAATTTATTTTAATAACTCTACCATTGAACTCACGCCAATACATGATAACAACAAACACATGTCACCAGAAAACACCCTCAGAATGTCAGGCACAATGTTACATTATTATAATTACATTCACAAACTGAGATGGCCTAATACATGACTTCACTCCATGCTCAATTACAACCCTACCAAACCAATAACATCAAACAACAAATTGGCCAAACAAAAACCCCTACACACCCATTACATACAGCCACACACTTAATGCATGATCCAACATTGCCACACACCCAATTACAACGACAACATACCATAAATAGGGAAATGAAATACCAGAGACCACATACCTGACACCATTGTGCTCTAACACAATCACAGCCGCCGATGAGGGGTGGATGTGAAAGCGATGTCGCCGGAGTAGCGCCACTAACGTCAACCAATCCCCCAAAACCACACTGGTTCAAATGCTCCTGACGACACAACGTTAGAGTATAGGGTTTTCGGAATCAAAGCCAACATTATTTGGGGCAACTATCGCTAATTATCTAACATTACCAAAAACTGGAGTATTACTTAGCACACTAATATCGCAACCCAAGAACATTCCATGTTAATCTCTTCTGGGTTAGTCGGATGCGAGAGAAAACCAAAAAACCCTTTATAGTACGCTTTTGGACAACAATGTAAATTTAACATCAGCAAAACACCCTTTTCTACCCCTAACTTATACACAAGCATATGGGCCAATGATGTACGTAAATGTCTTTTACATTGTTATGAGCCTTATTGGTCTATAAGAAAAAAACTAGGACTAAATGGTTCATAAGATTTAAACTTAGGATTTATTAGTATTTTACCTTAAAATGGGCCAATATTCACTTAAAAAATATATATATAAAAAATGAAAAAATTAAACTCAAAAAACTTAAACTAAACCAGAATTAGGAGTTGTTTGGAATGATCTAAATAAGTGCACTTTTTGACTTTTTATAAAATATGGGTTGAATTTGAAATGATGAGATAGAGAGATGATGGGTGTATTTGGTTTGTGTTTGTAGAGTAATTTTTGAGATAAAAAGTATAAAAACTTGTTTGCTTTGCCTTTTTTCAGAAATGATTTTGAAAAATTATTTTGGAGAGAGAATTTTAAAAAAAGTAATTGATTTAATGTGTATGAGAGAGAGAGAGTGATTTTTGAAAAGTAGGTAATCAAATAAAATTTTGAGATTTTTTTTGAAAAAAATTGTTTGGTTTAATTACTCTTGAAAATTTATCTATAGAGAATTTTTTTCAAATTTTTTTTCGAGAAATAAACCAAATAAAACCGATATAATTTAAATAAAATGATTCCATTTGAATAGTATAGTGATTTTTTAGACTTTTTTAAATTATGACATTGGAGGAATATCGTTGAGATTGATAAAGGTGACGCCGATTGTCCGAATAATCGGCCGACTTAGGTAATTCACCCAATTTGAACGAGCTCAAATTATTTTTAACCAAACAGACAAAAAAATTATTGAACTGATGGATGTTTCCTCACACAGAAGAAACCAATCCGCCACCACCTCCATCGCCTCGCCGCCGTCACATTGCTCAAATTCGGCGGCTGTTTATCACTTCAAATCTTACTAATCGGCAGTCAAAAGTCTTCCCCTTGAACGAAAGCGGCAAACTTTGAGAAAGACTGACCTTGATTTTGGTCTTTTGGAACCAAACCCATTTGTCTCTCTCGAAGGGAAAAAAAAATGGAGGACTTCTTTGGGGATTCTATTGTTGGGTCTCATCTTTCTTGACAAACCCCATTGGAATTTTGATAAATATATCTAAAACGATTCAGAAATCCCAACATAACTCAAAACTCCATAATGGGTATGCATAGGATTCTACATTTTTAAGAAAATAATTGTATCTCTCTTAATACGCAGAAGATTCAGAGCTCACTGACGGCTAAACAATCACTACTTCTAGTTCTTTAGGTAAATTTGTTACTTTCTCTCACAATTTATCATGAATGTATATATATACACATATGCTTCAGTTTCTTAAATTCTTGCATGGAATTGTTGTTGCTGATTCGCAAGTTATCTGTTGGTTGTAATGTGAACACGCCTGGCTTTTGCATACATTCTATTTGATAAATTGCTCAGAAGAGCTTGTAGAGCTGAATTTTAACTAAAACTTGGTGTTTGAAAATGTACATACGAGAGATAAACGTAGGCATTCTCAATGGTTGTGTTCTTTGCATGCTGCTTGGTAGATTCCCAAGCATGAGATTTAAAAGAGGGTTGTTATCTTTGCATTTCATTGTTTTCAGTTTTTAAGTGCATCTGTGCAATTTGTTGTAGATGGTTTGGAATGTTATTGGTCTCTATAACATAGTGCAACCAAATCTTAATTTCATAGCTTGAAAACATGTCTCTCTTTTTTTTTTTTTTTTGATGACATCAATTTACATTAAATCTGCTATCCACGCACCCTTATTTTTGATTTCTACTCAGAATTGAGACAGCTAATGTGCACGCATAATATATGAACACACATCCACAAACTAGCTATTATATTGATCTGAGGCCCTGCTCTGGTTCCCCAGTATAGAACTTCTGTAACTACGTTGGGCTTTCTTTCAATTTATTTATTCTTGTAATTTGTCTTTGCCATTCAAGTTCATCACCTCCATGTCTCTCTACTTCTGTATTTCTTGTTTCAACAATAACAAAGATTCACATGCAGATACACCCTTGCGCATACATCTGTAAATGCACAAATATACAGATGCACTGTATATGTGCACAAACGCTAATGCATACATACACCCATACCCATATGCAAGGGAACACATCTACCTCAAAGCTTGCTTAGCACAATCCGAAGTCAGGCCTGAATGGCCAAAATTTCAGTAGGGTCATTGGCATTCAGGCCTAGAACCTGCCCAAAACTGTCAAAATTTCTTTGAACTTGTCCCGGCATTTGTTCTAAATGTCAGCGAAAATCAGATTGGACATGTATGGTCTTTGAATCCCCTTTACTGGGTGTGTATAACTAAATATTTAATAATTAATACAAGAAAGAGGATGTATGTGTGTATTCACGTGCACACGAGCACATACACATATCTTCACTCTCAATGATGGTCACGCATATAGCAGCAGGGATACCTTAGAACATCTGGTTGTTTAATAAAGTCTGTTCCAGTTTAGTCTCTGCTCAAATTGATGTACATAAGTTCCTTTAGGCCTCTCTGCATATTTGTAGAATTTTTATATTCATCTTGTTATGCTAGCTGTTCAATATTTATCTTCTTATGTGCTTATCTTGATGGATGTCTTCTTTCATGAAACATACTAGTCTCGCAGCTGGTTGGAGTCATGAAGAAGCTTATGGACAACGTATAGAGGTGAAGTGGTGTGAAGAAAGGAAGTGCACTAACTTTCAAAATGTGAGGGTTATCTAGCCAGGATAGTAGTGCTTCTCTTTCAAGAAACATTTTGAGGCATTAGCTACTTTACTGAGATGTGATGTGAAGAGTATTGGAGTAACCAAATATGCTGATGATGCTTTCTTCAATATATTTTATGCTTACTTACTGTTCACAATAGCAAATAGCATCTTTGCCTTTGTCTTTACACCCTTACATTTTTCTGCTTATACATTGCAGCAGAAAGAGCTACAGTTTGACATCTTTGAAGCCTATCTGCCTGTCTTCTCCTTGCTATAGTTTATGATCCCTTAAAATCTCATGTTTCAATAATGGTGAAATTTCTTCCTGGTTTATTAGGCTTCCTAGAATCATAAACAATGATAAATACCTTGATATCCGGGTTGCAATATACTGTTAACAATCTTAAACCTGTCATCCAATCAACTTTTCTCCCAATACACTTCAAGACAGAGCAGTCGATCAATGATTATATAAGCTTCTTGTGCAAGCAAAACCTTTTCAAACAAGCTCTTGATGCGTTTGACTTCTTGCAAAAACATACAAGTTTTCATGTGAAGCCCAGCACTTATGCCCAGCTGATATCTGCCTGCTCGTCTTTGAGATCTGTAGATCAAGGAAGAAAAATCCATAACCATATCCTTATACACAGCTGTCAGCCCGACATGATTCTTCAAAATCATCTTCTCAATATGTATGGGAAATGTGGTGCCTTGAAGGATGCTCAAAGGGTTTTCGATGAAATGCCAAAGAGAAATGTGGTTTCTTGGACTTCTGTAATTGCTGGATACTCACAGCATGGTCAAGAAATTGATGCAATAAAGCTGTATTTTCTAATGCAAAAATCTGGCCTTATGCCAGATCAGTTCACCTTTGGAAGCATAATAAGATCTTGCTCAAGTTTGAGTTCCATTGAGCTAGGGAGGCAGTTGCATGTTCATGTCATTAAATCAGAATTTGGTTCCCACCTTATTGCACAAAATGCTTTGATTGCAATGTACACAAAATTTGGTCAAATTGCTGATGCATTGGATGTGTTTTCTGGTATTAAAAAAAAGGATTTAATTTCATGGAGTTCAATGATTGCGGGCTTTTCACAACTTGGTTACGAGTTAGAAGCATTGAGCCATTTTAAAGAAATGCTGTCTCAAGGTGTTTATCAGCCAAATGAATTTGTTTTTGGTAGTGCTTTTAGTGCTTGTGGCAGTCTCCTGCAACCAGAATGTGGGAGGCAGATACATGGGATGATTACAAAATTTGGGCTAGGGAGAGACACTTTTGCAGTTTGCTCGCTTAGTGATATGTATGCAAAATGTGGTCTATTGGATTTTGCAAAAACAGCTTTCTATCAGATAGAGAGGCCTGATTTAGTCTCTTGGAATGCAATCATTGCAGGGTTTGCATATGGTGGTGATGCAGACGAAGCCATGCTGTTTTTTTCTCAGATGAGGCATCTGGCATTGAGCCCAGATGATATCACAGTTCGCTCCCTGCTTTGTGCCTGCACAGGTCCAGTTAACCTAAATCAAGGCATGCAGATACACTCATACCTTATCAAAGTGGGTTTTGATTTAGGTATAGCAGTGTGTAACACTTTACTTTCAATGTATGCAAAGTGTTCAGATCTTTATGATACATTTAAAATGTTCAACGAGATGACAAGCAATGCAGATTCCGTTTCTTGGAATACTGTTCTTGCTGCATGTATGCAGCACAACCAAGCTGGGGAGGTTTTCTCATTATTAAAAATGATGCTTCCATCTCAAAATAAGCCTGACCATATTACTTTAGTCAGTGTACTGGGAGCTTGTCGAGAAATAGCCTCTCTAGAAATGGGGGATCAAGTTCATTGCTATGCTATGAAAACTGGGCTCAGGCTCGATAACTCCGTCACAAATGGACTGATTGACATGTATATGAAATGTGGCTCTCTACGAAATTCTCAAAAGCTCTTTGATTCCATTGAGAGTCCTCATGTTGTCTCCTGGAGTAGTTTGATTGTGGGTTATGCTCAGTTTGGACATGGACAAGAAGCTCTTAAACTCTTTGGGAAAATGAGAAGTTTAGGTGTCAAGCCAAATCAAGTGACATTTGTTGGGGTTCTAACTGCTTGCAGTCATGTTGGCCTGGTAGAAGAAGGTTTACAATTGTACCGTACCATGGAAATGGATCACGGGGTTGTACATTCTAGAGAACACTGCTCATGTGTGGTCGACTTGCTTGCTCGTGCTGGACGTATAAATGAAGCAGAAGATTTTATCAATCAATTGCCATTTGATCCTGATATTGTCATGTGGAAGACTCTGCTAGCTGCTTGTAAGAACCATAATAATGTTGAGGTTGGAAAACGTGCTGCTGAAAATATTCTGAAAATTGATCCATTCAACTCTGCTGCTCATGTATTACTTTGCAACATATATGCATCTGACAGCAGTTGGGAAGATGTTGCTAGAGTACGGAGTTTGATGAAAAAAAGGAATGTCAAGAAAGTTCCCGGTCAGAGTTGGATTGAAGTTAAAGACAACATCCATGTTTTCTTGGCAGAAGATAGTTTGCATTCAGAAAGGGACAAAATATACTCGATGCTAGAGGAATTGTGGTTGCAGATGCTGGATGCTGGTTATGTTCCGTTCAAAGATAAGCTTCATGAGTGAACTATTGGTGGGGTTAAATTAGTGATGACGCGATCTTCAGGTTCAACATCATGCCCAATCTTCAGAAAGTTCTAGTTTGATCTTGGATTTGCTAGATTGATCATGTCTGAAGTCTGTGGAGGTAAAACTTCATGATTTATTTCTTGCATTTTCTCTAAAAAAAATCCTTATGGGTAACAAGAGGTCTTGAGGCCCTGACATTTAGGTTGAGTCTGACCAGGTACCCCCTGGTCCATTACGAAGGTGCCCTTTTGACATTTGTTTCATTGCCATCTAGATTCTTGCCTTGGTTGGCTAATAAGTCAAACCGTGCTGGAATTAAGTCCATTTACAGATAATTTGCTAAATATTATGTACACTGTTTTACTTTAATATTTCTTGTTCTCTCTATCAATTAAGGATAATATCTGAAGTTTCAGCAACAGTTACGTTGTTCCTTTCCATATATTTAATCATTGTGTATATTATTTTATTACTGATTTTACAAGTGGAATTTTTTAGCTGATGTTTAAACCAGTGAGCTGGAAACAACTTCTTTTGCAACCTGACATAATTTTTTGTCATAATGAACACAACTCAGACAGGATCAATAGGAAGACTTCTAAAATTGATATTGGGGGAAGGAGACATGTTTCATTTCACACAGGATTCAAACATGCTGATCCCCATTCTCCAATACAGAGAAAAGGATATGCATAGGTAATGTTATGAAAAATTAATAAAAAGGGCCATTTTAAGGCCCATCCTATCTCGGCCCAGACATGGGAAGAGTGCTTGAGGATTGGCCCACGAACTTTCATGTATACACATTGTTCATACACATTTGTACATAACAGTAATGCATATGTATGAATCTGTGTTACCTGGAACATGGATCGTTCCGGTATGTGGAACGTGAACGAGAATGTGGTATGTTACATGCTCTAAAATGTGGTACGTCATGGGTAGACTTGTATAGATTACATTATAATAATTTAACGTACTTCTAGAATAATTTTCTTTTAACAATTAGGCGTCCAATAAAATGTAATTTTTTTTTTCTAAATTAATCATATAAAAACACATTTCTATATGAGCATTTTTGACATTTTGTCCTGTCAAAACTTCATTCACATTAGATTTTAATTCATTATAAAAAAAAAAAACAACGCCCACTTAGATTTTAATTCATTATATTTGATTTTTATTCTTACTGAGAAAACTTTCAAGGATTTATATTGGAAGCAACTTTTGGAATCGCTTCGAATTGCAATTTACCGTTTTGGAATGAAAGTTTATCATGTTTTGGAACATGCTTTCCAAAACGTAATTCACTAGGATATTAGCATTTTTTGGTAACACTGGTATGTAATACGTATACATATATTTCTATTATTCTTTTTTCTTTAGAGGAAAATACATGTAGTATCAATTGTACAAGGAACAGAGTAGAGAGGCTTAATCCCCAAACTTAGTTGTTGACACAACATACCAACACCACTTGGCAACCAAATAAGTTTTGTCTTTTTTGAAAATTAATTTTTTACTATGCAGTCTAGATTGGGATCGCTTTGAATTGCAATTTACTGTTTTGGAATGAAAGTTTATCATGTTTTGGAACATGCATTCCAAAACGTAATTCACTAGGATATTAGCATTTTTTGGTAACACTGGTATGTAATAAGTATACATATATTTCTATTATTCTTTTTTCTTCAGAGGAAAATACATGTAGTATCAATTGTACAAGGAACAGAGTAGTGAGGCTTAATCCCCAAACTTAGTTGTTGATACAACATACCAACACCACTTGGCAACCAAATAAGTTTTGTCTTTTTTGAAAATTAATTTTTTACTATGCAGTCTAGAGTGGAAAAGCTTAGACCTGTTTTATTTTTTGGGTCAAGCCTATAGCTAATAATTTAGGACTGATGTTGGGCTGGCCTGGCCTTGGGCTACTGCAAATCTCATTATTATCTAGAATAGACTCTACCCAAAACTTGCCTGATTGAGCCCATGGCCACCACTATCAGCAACAAGATAAGAGGCATATATTGAGTTATCAGTTAAGGTATTACTCTCCGTCACTTGTGCAATATAGATTATAGATATCTTTTAAAGAATAAAGAGTAAAGACAAACTTGTGCATCTGACATATGGTGTCAATTTGTTACACTAGCAAGTTGGCAACCATGACTAGAAAGTAAATGTGATATTGATGCCAGAGTTTAGTGCTTAGTAAAGAATACGATCTTGAGGGCCATGTATCACCAACCAAATTCAAGCATCTACAAAGTTTTGCATTTAATGTTATTTTTTGGTTAAATGCTCCTCGACTTCATTGGCTTCTATTAAAAATACACATTGATAGGAATATACTTTTCTTGTGGTTCAATGTCTAATTTGTTGTATATGAATTGAAGTCTAAAATTTTTCTTTTTTCTCCCTTGTAGAAATGTTATTACCTAAAAACTAATTACTTTATATTTTCTAATATTTATTAGAATTTTTCTTCTAAAAGATTTGGATTTACATGCTGGTTTACCTAACTGGTGCTAAATTGACTATGATCTTCTGTTTGATGGTTTGGTGTAGGTCTATCAGTAGTTCAAAATAGCAATCCTGATGCTATACTTTTGGCTCATGAGAACACCATGGGTCGCATTCGAAAAGGTTACGGTAGCGTTTGATAGAGTTTTCTAAATATGATTTGACAATAGAGTTGTATTTTGAGTTTGTGAGTTTTGGAATTATGATTTGAGTGTGGAAAATTTGTTTGGTAAATGAGTTTTGAATTGAGTGGGGAAATTTTGATTTGACATGATATTTGATATAAAAACTTATAACTCATAACCAAACACACAACTCAAAATTCTATTCAAAGTTCATAAATTTTTTAAAAAAATTCCAAATTTTTTTTATTTAAAATATAAAAAATAATAGGTGGCAATTGTAAAAAAAAAAAAAAAATTGCACTGTTCCGGTCAACTGGCCGGATGTCCGGTTGGACGACCGGTCGAACGTCTGGTTAGCCCAAATTTTCCCGCCTTGGCTAGAGTTTTCAAAAGTGAGTGTGGAATTAATTTTTGAAAATTGTAAACAAATACCATGTGCAAACCAAAGGGTGGAAATATATTTTGAGAACACAACTAAACACAGCCTAGAATTTTCCTTTGTTTAACCTCCCTATTCCTTTGAGGCCTTTGCTTGATTTTTTGTCTTGGGAAAGAATTTTGATCAAGGCCCTGTATGCATAGCTAGTTCTTTATTTTAGAAGTTAACTCCCTTGGCATCTTAATTTTCCTTGTTGTCTACATATATATTTTAGATTTTGTTTATTTATTTATTGTTTTTGGGGTGGGGCTTAGACTGAAGACTTTTGTAAGGTTTAGGAAGTTAGTTTGTGAATGTGGAAGACTATAACACTGGTGTTTGGAGATTGCTTGGTCATGTTGCGATTAAGATATTTGACTGAACTGTTTAAGAACAATAGCTAATATATTTTGAAGTTGGGTATTCATTAAAATATGCACAATACTTTGTCACATGAAACAAAATTGACGATTTAATTAAAAACAAGAAATAGAGTTCTGTGAGGGTGATCCAAAAATAGTGTCTTTTGCAGATGCGGGTCTAATCTTGCATCACATCGTCAACAAGTGCTTTAATCCTTTCAGAAATCCAATAGTAGTGTTAGCATTCTTGGCTCCTTGTATCAGTAGATAATGACAAGCTGATGCAAAATTGTCATCTTGATTAACAATGAATTGTGGGATTTAAGGGTTGGAAATCTGCCATGTAGTTTAATTAACACCCTTACTGCAGATTTTAGGGATAAATGGTATCTGACTAATATGCCTCATAATTTAGTGGGTGGCAGTACTGATCTTCAGTATAATGTGTTCGCATTCTTCTGCTGAAATAATTCTAGTCTTTTCTTTTTTTTTGTTTGAAACATCTCTACCCAAAGGATTCTAATTTCTGAGCATATTGAGATGTTTATGACTTTCTGTCCTGGGGTTCAAGATATAAATTGCTGTGTGACTGGAGGTGGTCTTGTTAGCCTTCCTTTTTTATGGCATCTTTGTACCCGAGACTTTATGTAAGGAAGCATGTTTCATGGTGATAGCTGCTTGGGATAAAGTACTGATGGCCTATCACCGAATCAACAGGAAGTGATCTTTTCCATAGAAATGTAGATGTGCTGAGGGAAACTGTGAACGGTGAATCAACATATACTGTCTTCCTTATCATTTCTCCTTCCTCCATGGTATTTGTAAGAATTTATGTATTATTGATTGATGTCTTGATTGATAGATTACAAGATGCATTAATTAGAGCACACAGTCGATGAATGTATGGCTGAGAAAAGAATGCACATTTGCGGAGGTGATGCCCCATTTATTATTCTGATGGAGTTTATAGAAAGGAAGCAAAATTTATGTGAAAACAAAATTAAAAGATACGTGTTTTGAGTTAAGAATCAAGTGCTCAGAACTTGATCTCTTTTTTTTTTTTTTTCAACGCTCAGAACTTGATCTCTGGCTCTTTGTTCCTTATGTGGTTTTAATCTTAGTGGTAGTCTGAGGCAGCCAGATTTGGTTTGTTCAGCTGTCAATTCTTGTGGCTATTGTGGTAAATTTTTGTGCCCTCTTGTACCTGTTAAAGTCAGTATGACCATTCCTCTTGTTATGATAAACACACTTTTTTAGTACCTATGATTGATTATGCATTTTGTTTCCATGTGAACATCTAAAATCTTTTCACAGCATACTAAAGGAAATACAAGCCTAGACTGACACAATATCGTTTAGTAAACTGCTAAAACATTTTTAACTGAAGTATTCTTTATAAAATCATGAACATTAAACATTATCTGGTCTGTTCTAAATGGACATGGTATATTGTATGCTTTCTGTTGTTAAAATAACAACTCAAATCTTGCGATTAAATTAAGTACTATTTTTGATTGGAGCATAATTTATCAATTTGCACCAAAATAAGACTGGCTGTGTTTTACTTCTTGGTGTTCTTAATAGGGTGTGGTCTTTTTCCTTCCAAATTAACGATGTATGCTCTTATGATGAATACATGTTGTACAGATCATTGGTCTCTTGGCCATACCCCAGTTTCAGGAGGAGAAGGGATTTGCATTGGCGGTCAGACATTGAGAGTCATTTGTGCCCCAGTAATATTTATTTACATGATTGCTTCTTTTGAAAAGCATAGTTTAAAACTTTCTTCTATAGCTGCACCTGATATGTGTACCAGATTCCATGTATCTGGCTATCATGTTAAGCTAAGCAAGCCTGATATTAACACAAATTAGATGTTGGAATTGAGTTTTGAGCAAACGCAGATTAGCCTAAACTCCAATTAAGCTCATAGCCTGATACTTGGGTATTTTGTGTGGGCATTTGTCTAGCTTGGGCCAATTAACAATCCTTGACCAGAAAGATGCTCTGATAATGTTAGTTAGTCCAAATTTCATGTCAACTTTCCATAATATGTGGATTAATAAGTCGCAAGTTCTTAACAAAATGCGTAAGGGATTTTGGTCATTTTCAGTTTGATCATAGTTGTATGTTCCATAACTTTTTGTCATCTTATTCCCTTATGTTTCTTGAGATATCTGTAATTTAACTTTCAGATGTACTATTGTTCTTCATTTTGAGACATCACATGCTGCATCATGTTAACTTTAGAAAATTTTCCTTATTCAGGGGCATACAGATGGCCACATGGCGTTACTTCATGTCAGTGCTCACTCGTTGATTGTAGGTGATCATTGTGTGGGTAAGATTTTCATTTTATACAAATAAAAAGTTTGTGCAAGAAATCAATTGGTACTTCTTACCTACAGCTTTACTAAGATGAGCTATTTAATAGTTAATTTTTTGGTTTATCAGTTCTGTTGATTGATACATGAAAATTTGATGAATGGGATACATGAAACTCTCACTCTTGCTTAAGGCAAAATTTGACGAACGGGCTTCGCGCCTCGATGATTTTACTTCTATTATATTAGTATTATTGTTAATCTTATGAATTTATTTTAAGGACGTCATCTAAGCAATGTACAGTGTTGGATTTACATTGTATTGTATTATCATTTAACTTTTTAATTTTTCTTTTGGATATATATATATATATATTTTTTGAATCTAAATATTGACTGGTCTTGTGATTTGTCACCCAGAAGGTACTTTTTAACACATCTATGGATTTTTTTTTCTCCCAGTCAAGTAAGTGCAATTTTGAATATTACTTCTGGTGCATATATGCATGTAAGTGTAATTGACATCTGATTCTTCGGCCCTATGGAATGGCAGTAAAAGCCAATTTTGTTTACATAGGGCCTGTAAATTTATTTCATTGAGCTTTGTAAACTATGTTATCCAAGTAAGAGAGTGTGTTTTCAAACAATAAGCACTAGTTTCAAAGTGAATTATTGTAGTGGTAAATATGTAAAATATCCATTTTCGTTAACGTCATTAGTTTCAAATTGAATTATTATAGTTCAAGGTGGTAAAGTATAGCAATTTTTCCATGGCTTTTAGGTTGATTATAACTTTGCGGACATACCACAAACTACAGTGATACCATATAAATTATAATAAGTTGATTACGCTAGTGCTATGCTGTACAGATTTAAATTTGTGCTATTAAGAGTCTTGTCTTGGTTATAATTGGATGCCACTCTACTTACACAAGTGAGCAAGTTAATCTTCTGGAAAGTAAACATCCCATCACGGGCTGGAATCATTAGAAGCTCTTAGTTTCAACGATCACAATCTTCATTACTCGTGCCATGAAAATGTACACACTGACTTACTGCAACATCAAGAGGTTTTTGAGAATGGTTGCATAGCGATAGTGCATTTTACTTGCTTTTTCAATGACTCTGCATTCATTTGGAAGTGTTTGGAATTGATTTCTAGTTGGTCATTGGCATTCTTCTGGACATGAAGATTGTTACCATCAAGATGTTTGCTAAAAAGAGTTGATGTTGGTGATTCCTAATAGATTCACAGAGAGCGAGAGATTATTTGTTTCTCCAGATTGCAAGGTATGTACATTTTATTGAGGATTATTTTGATAACATGAAAAACAAATATTTATGTTTCGTGTAAATATCTGCAAAGTATAACCACTACTAACCACCACTAGTTGACATTGGTAGGAAAGACGGAAAAGATTTGAAGAGTTCCCTCTTGGCCCACCATTTCCTTTCCACCCAAGCCAAGATGGAAGCCAAGCAAGCCCACTTTGGCTCTGTCTGGAGTACTCAAAAGAGAAGGGTGATGTTGAGGAAGTTGATGAATTTTCAAGGTTACAGACAGAGCTCGTTCGAATTAAAGGATTTGATGAGAAAAGAAAGAAAATGGAGAGAGAGATGTGCAATTTTTTAGGGCTTATATTGGTAATAATAGTTTATTTTTTAATTTTATATGTTCATGTAGTATTTATCTTTTCAGCGGTGCTAGAGGCCTCGAATTCGAGGGCTCGAATTTGCTTTGACAACAATTTATTTATTTGTTTATTTGTTTATTTTTGGGGTGGTGGCTGTGTGTGTTAGTTTTTTTTTTTTTTATTTGATTTTTTTGAAAGGTGGTTTATGTGGAGGAATGTGTCAAAAAATTAGACATTTCACACCAACTCATCGTATAAAATTATATGAAATTAATAAAATTTAACTAATAACCGAACTAATCAGTCAATTTTATCACTCAATCAGTCCAATCTAATTGACTGATCTGTTAAGCTGCTGGTTAAATTTTGTTAATTTTATATAATTTTATACGATGAGTTAGAATTTTTAGTTTTTTGGCACACCTCTACACATAATCACCTTTAAAAATAAAAAACCAAACTAACATAGCCTAACAAATAGAAGAAAAAAAAAACTAGTTTGATAAGGTAAGCGAATTAGGTTGGACTTTATCAAACCATACAGGCTGAGTTAGTGCGAAATGTTTAATACACATAATCACCCTTGCAAAAAAGAAAGGAAAAAAAAAGATAGAAAAAAAAAAAAAAACCCAAACACAAAGCAAAAAAAAAAAAAAAAAATTGAATTTCAAGGCCTCAAACATTAATCTTATCTTTTTACACCTACTTCAAGCACTGTAAATCTTGCATTATCAGAAAAAAGTGTAGCGAAAAATTTAATGGAGGTATTTAGAAGCTTCTAGAACTATTTATGTAATTATGTACCAATATTCAACACACTCTCAATTATTTTGGAATGTTCTGGATTGTTCCACTATTCTTTAATTTTTTGCCTCTTGTCCTTGGTAGACAGTTCTCTCTAAACAAGTGAGCTGGACTAAAAGTATACGGGTAGGGAACATTATTTTCATTTTGCCATTACTATTAAAGTAAAAATATTTTGATTGTAAAAATATAATGCATTACTACTATGGGCTTACTTTTGGGGGTTTTTTTTCGCGATTATTTTAATTGACTTTTTTTATGAAAAGATATATAAAAAAAAAAGAGATTTTTATTGATAAATCCATTCTAGAGTTGTTATAACCCATTAGGTCCACTAAAGAATATGATAACCTGATTAGTCCCATGAACTTTTCTTTTTATTCCATAAGGTCCATTTTCCTAATTTAACATATTTTACTGGACTATCTTAGAGAATGGATTTACTAAAAAAGCTCTCAAAAAAAAATGATGTGAAATTTATAATATTTTTTGACTTTATAACTATATCAATCTAATGTGAAATAAAACATTTTCTACCACGCTCTCATTAATCAACGAGTTGAGTTTTACATTGATCTTCACTTTAGTTGTGCTATCTCCTCTTGGAGGACATTATGGGCTTGGGTCGAGTAAAAATTTGAAGGGCAGGTTATAGGCTTTTAAGCCTAATTATAATCATGTGTAATATATAATAATAATTATTTTTCTAATGTTTTACACAGGATAATACAATCGGCTCAAAAATAGGAAAATAAATAACAATGTGGACGGTGCGTTGTTTGGGACACTTAAAATTTGTCATGAATCTCATTTTAATAATTTTAATTATTTATTTTATTAGACATTCTGTCAATATCATTCATTAGATAATTCAGTAATTATAATTTATTTAATTTTTTTTAATAAAATAAATTATTTGAATCATAAAAACAAGGCTTAAATAAAGCGCCAAGTAGAAGAGGATTGAAAAATTGCTGAAAGCGGGAAGCACGTGAAGGATGCAAAACACAAACAGACTCCACACTATAGAGAGATGTTAATCTCACTCACTCGCCTTCGCAACACGTGCATCCTCATATAGTCCCTCCCGACTCTCACACCTACCTACCTACCTCCCATCCCAGTCACTTTTTCAAACTCTCTCTCTCTCTCTCTCTCTCTCTCTAAAAACCAAATGCTCCAGCGATTGTTGTTTACAAATCAACCACAATGTGGCAAGTAATGTTAGCCGCAGCAGTAGCTGGATCTGGGTTCTTCGCAAAACGCTTCCTCAACACCACCACCACCAATTCCGATGATCCCAACATTGAAGCTGACACAAAATGTGATCAATCGAAAGAGCTTCAACAACACTTGACTACTCCTCCTTCCAAACCCCAACTTGCAATCCATCTCGCATTTCAATCATGCAATGACTGCAAATCCGAGTCCGAGACGCAGAGCTCAACAGCAGTTGGTGATGGATCGATATTTATGTTTTCGAGTCCTGTGTCGAAGGGAGGAACTGGGTCTCGATTTGGGTCGAAGAAATCGGGGGGAAATAGAGAGGGGTTTAAGATTTCTGGGTTTGAAAAAGTAGAGAGAAAATGTGGGGGTTTTGATCAGAGTAAGAGTGGAAAGAAATTCGCTGTTTGCTTGAAGAAGAGGCGAACTAGCAAGAATTCCCCCGGAAAATGCGAATCATGTTCTTCCAAAGGTTGGATTCCTGTTACATATATACTTAAATACACACACACACACACACATGAAGTATATGCATTTGATACTAATCGAGTGTGGATGTGAATTGATCAACTCCATATTTGTTTTTGTCTAGGGTAAATTACATCGGTAGCCTCTGCATTTTGCTATTTGTGTCATTTTGGTTCCTATAATTTCAGTTAGCTCGATTTTGACTATAAATTTTAGATTTTGTGTCAAATTGGTAGGAAAATGATAGCTTGGTTGGTTGAGATTAATTCATTGAGTTGAAAGCATAACACATGCTACTTATGTGCTCCGTTTTCATATTATATAAAAGGAAAAAAAAAAACTAACAATTGTAATTAATTGGACTAAATTGAGACAAAATGATAAATTGAGGGTCAAAATCGAGTCAATTGAAATTATAAGGATCAAAATGACACAATGGTTAAAGTATAGGGACTACTGATGTAATTTTTCCTTTTGTCTATGTATTATTGGGAGAACTGACTGTTGTGCTAAGTTTTATGGCTAAAATATTAGGGATTACCGATATAATTTTCCCTTTTGTCTGTGTATTATTGGGGGAACTGACTGCTTTTCTAAGTTTTATGATTGTGCCCATCAAAGTTGTTTTCAGCAAATAGCTCCTAGTTTTGGTCATTTCTTGTTAATGTTGCCTGTCAATTATGAGGGATATCTACAAATGAAACTATTATGTATGAAAGTTGATGACACCGTGTTGTCAAGTGAAATTCACATTTTGTTTGAAGTGTATGTATGAATTGTGATGATCTAAATCTTAGAAAACATTTTTTGAATGTGATCCGAGCAAACCCATGCAAGATATGTGTCATCTTCCCATTGTTAAGTTCAATATGCGGGGTTTGATCAGTAGCTTGAATCTGTCTTCATATTTCAATGGCGCCAATAATGCTATTCCAATGCACTAATCTACGAGAGAATACTATTTCCTCAATATGCTGTTGCCAAGAGAAATTCAGAACTCAAGTTTTTTTGAGGAACCACTTGTGAGTAGTGATCCTTTAGTGGTATGCATGATACAAACAATAGTTTTCAAAAACCAATTGGTCTTTCCAGAAATACTTTTGCTTCAGAGGTGTTTCCGTTCTCTTATGACACTCTAATGCACATTTTGAAATCTAGTGACACTTGAATCTAATTTTCAGAAACGAAAGAAGCTCATCACCTAGCATGTGAATGACACTTAATTCAGATGTATTTTTCTTGCGAATGGTGCTTTCACTAAGACAACAAAGATTTTAACCAATCGATTTTGTTGAAAGTATTTCATCTCAAATCACTTTATAGTCTTAATCACTCACTTCTTTTATTTATTGTTATTCATATATTTGTATAAACAGAACCGAAATCCAAATGTTGAGCAGGGATGTTTGTTGTGTGATCCATGTCCATATCAATAGCTGATCACATTGTCCCACAAGAGGATATTGCAGCATTTTTCATCACATTTTAGTGTTTGATGATTTTTTGGGCGAAGCTAGTAAATACATGCTACCGCATCTCTTACTTGAGAGCACCATCATGATGTTACTTGAGAAGTCCAACTTCAGCTTGTCATCCCTTTTATTAGACAGAATGATATTGTCAATTCCATCCATGCTAACCATGTGTTATACATAATACATGTGATAGGTACTTTTTCTACAAGTGATAGATGTATAAATAATTGTACCAATCCTCCAACCTATGTTATGTGGACTCTTCTAAATGCATGAAGTACTGTGTCGGACATTCAACCTTTGGGTAAGGGTATAGGATGTGTCCGACATGTGTAGTTGGACTTTCACCTAGTAAGCTTATCTAGAATTTGAGTTAATCATAAATCTATGTATAAAACCTCCCACATTATGGATGAAATTCTTTATGACACCTTTTGAACACCATTTTACCTTAGAAAATTAATGAAGTATAGTAAAAAATACAAATACTTTTGTTGCATGACATGGGATTAAATGAATTGGACACTTAGACACATACCCGCGCCCGATACCCATACCTGACTCCATGTATAATAACCTCCAACATATTGGCTGGCATTTATATGCAAAAGAATCCAGTGAGTGAACTGGGTGGCAACATCATTCATGTTTGTTGAAATCACTAGGTTAAATGTTTTGTGAAGTTATTGAGACAAAAATGTGTCATCAGATGGTTTACATTCTCACAGAGAATAACTTATAATTTCTGCATATTTGCATCTATTTTGGTTTGTTAGTTTGTGATGAATTAGTCTTTCTCTGGTAGTTTCTGCTACACAAGAGTACAACAGTTTTGACAGCTTTGAATTCTACTTCTACATATCTAATTCATATTATTCCTTATAGACAATTCAACTTTCAGTTGGGGACTAGGTGTTGGAATCATGTGTATGATGTCTGCTGGGAAGGCTGAAATCAGTAGGCTGAACACGGCAGTGGATGAGACTACAAAAGTTGTTCAAGAATTAAAAACTGAATTTTCTAGAAGAAAATCATCACGTAATCTGCAAGTTTCAAGTTCTAAAACTGAAATTAGTACAAGTCCATACAAAACTAGAGGCAAACATACTGAACCAATACCTCAGTCAAGCACTGAGAACAGAGACAATGTTCAAGATTCTGGTGTCTTTGTAACTGAAGACGGTGAATGTGCAAGTAGTGTTCTTACAGAAGAGCCACAGCAAGAGGTGCTGGAGATGGACCGTCTGGAAGCAGAGCTCGAGTCTGAACTGCAAAAGCTTCCTTGGTGCTCCACAGAAGCTTCTGGATTTGAAGGAAAAATATCAGACATTTGTGAGGTGTGCTTTGTCCTTATTTTTGTTTTTACTAGCATTGACCCATCATTTATATCTTTATACTCATCCTTGAGATACAAGATTCTTTTGTTTCTATGGCTCTTTGATTATTTACCGCACTAGGAAAGTACTTCTAGCAAATGAATTTGCTTCTAAACAACTGTGCTTCTCAGTTTAATACAGACATAATTTGTGTTGTGCAGAATGAAGATGCTTCTTTCGAAGGATTTTACAAACCAGATGGCCAGACTTCTGATTCTTGTCAATTGAGTGGGGTGTTGCCATCTGAACTGGATCAGAAACTGTGCCATTTGCTCATCGAACAGCAAGAGAGCCAGATTGTAGGGCTAGAGTCTGAACTGCATTTGGCCCAATCTAAACTCCATGACAAAGAAGCCGAACTCCAAGCATTGAAGGACTGCGTTAAGCGCCTTACTGAATTTTCTCTAGCAACTGCCTCAGGTATAATTTTCTTTCATCACTTATTTAAACCAGTCTTTAATTTTTTTTTTTTTAAATTTCTTCGTGCTGAAATTTTTTCTCTGTACAGCTGCATGACTAGTTTGGATTAATTTTTGTTAAATCGAGTTAAAGATTCTTTCGTTTTTTCATGATGATCCCTGTTTGGCCTCAATTTTTTTGGATTTTTACTTTTCTTTTGTTTTTTTGGGACTTGAAATTTTTTAAAAATACTAAAGCAAACAAAACAAAAAAAAAAAAGAAACAAAAACAAAAACAAAACGACGACAACAAAAACAACAAAAAACAATCATAAAAAAAGTTCGGACGAAATGGGCACAATTTTAGATTTCTTTGTTTAACATTGCTGCCACTCTTTGCACTTAAAAGAGTAGAGGTAAGTGGACAGATAATTTTTCACTGGGATACAAAGATGTGAGATAAATGGCAGGTCCTACATATATAGTGAATTTCACAAGTCGGACTCACTTTTTGTCTCTATTCTATAATCCATTTTTGTAAAAACCATCTTTATTTTACAGATGAAGAAAGTGAAGCCCAGAAGGAAGAAGAGAAGATTATTGATAATGGGGATTATGATAACAACATGGGACCTGAGTCAAAGAGATCAGTGGTTGGGATGAAAAGATCAATGGACTTTGAACCATACAGTTGTGACATGAAATGAAATGATAATCATTTTATATCTACCAAAAGCAAAGTGGGGAAAGGTTAGTAAACTGGCAATCCTTGGATGCCCTGAGATTTCATTTTGGGTATACTTTTCATATGTGTGGGCCATCCATAACCATTAAATATTGTATTTATGTAAGAAAAATGATGCAGACCACTAATTAGTGGTTGCACTAGGGATGTGGCAGTGGGTCCCACCCACTGCCACATGTGTTTTGTGTCTTAGTTTTTGTTTTTTGTTTTTTGTTTTTTGTTTTTTGTTTTTAACTTGCCGCATTATTAGTGGCAGTGTTAGGGGTAGAAATTTAGTGGTCTGTAGCATTGTTGATCTATGCAATGCACATTGCCTGTTTCTCACTACAATACACTTGTCCCCCTCCCTAACTTCAGTTGTATAAACACATTTAGGAGCTGTTTCTTTTAGTTTATTAGTTGTAACTTTTAACTTCTAGTTTTAGTTTAATTAGAAATAATATGTTGCTTGTAATTTATGATGAAATAACTTGAGTTTATTTCAGTTTATTTGATGTCACATAAGTTCATATTAAAAAGTTGATTAGGGCATGCTTCTCAGCTTTCAGCTCTCGTAGGAAGTTGTTTTTATTTGAAAAATTTCTTTTACTTTTCTTGAATATTATTGAAAGTTATGATCTACAATCTGTTAAGTTATTATAATGTTTAGTGTTGCTTCTAGCTTGTTTCATTGGTTTATTTTTATTTTTATTTTGTGAATTCATGTCAAGATTGTTTGATAATAATTTTGCTTATAGCTTATGAGTAACTGAAATAATTTAAAAAAAATTGATTATTTGATATATTTCTGGTGTCTTTGTAACTGTGTTTTTAACTATTTTTTTATTATCAATTTTTAGCAGTTACACCTAGGACTGTGCAAAATATTGTCCAATTCGCTAAAACTGCATTGACCTGCATCAATCCGCACCACTCTAACCGCTAATTGCGGTTTAAATTTTAAGATTTATAATCCGTCAATCGAACCGCTCCGCTCCGTTCTGCTATAGTTAATACATATATATTTTTTAACCTCCAATGAAATATCAATATAAAAATAAATGTAAAAGATATTTAAGATATAAAATTTATTACAAATTAGTAGTTATATATATGAAATATATTATGTAAAATTACATTATGTTATATATTTAAAAAATATTATACAAATTAGTATTATACATTATGTAAATGTATGATAATTAGTTAGAATATTTTTTAATTCGTCAATCTGTCAAAAACCGCTTAAATTGTAATTTGTCAATCCACTAATCCGTCAATCCATCATTTAATTTGTAATTTTACTCTCAAACCGTTCGAATTGCACCATGCATACCCCTAGTTACTTCAAATAAATGGGCATTTAAACTCTTGCCTATATCATGAATTCAATGTTTTAAAATATTTTTGTCCCTCTTGATATATTAAAAGAGAAAATCTATGGACCATGAAAACAAAACCCAAAAAATGTTCAGAATGTTAAATTTATGGTTTAAAATCAAAGTTGTATTTGTGAGACCATATGATCTATGAATCTGGACTTTTGATTTCAAATTTTGGGTAATTTTTGCTTCTTTTTGTCTGGTTCATAGAATTATTCATATTAAAATTGCAATATGCTATGGCATCTCGAAACATATAATTGCAATAATTGCAAGTATCCACTGCCTAATAACATTTCTTTTCCTAGTGTCTCGAGCTCTTTACAGTTCAGTGATTTCTGATTGACTTTCTTACTATTCATACTATTCACTGCTTTCTTTTCTTTTCTTTTTGCTTTGTTTTTGAGTGCCAGAAAGGGTGCCTGAAACCTTAGTTGACTTTTTGCTTTCTTGTTGGGAAAGAAATATATTTATCAATCCACTCATACTGTGATTACTAAATTACCCATCCCTTACCAGAAGTTAGTTTGAAGAGGCCCTAGGGTTTACTTTGAAAAGTTCTACATATATATATATATATAAAGTATGTAGTGTGTGGTGGTTGCTACTGCACAGAGAGAGAGAGAGAGAGAGAGAGAGAGCCATGGATGGTTGGAAGCTCACCCTTTTTGTTCCTATGAATATCTGGAAGACCCTAGTTGATGTTCTTCACTAAAAAGTAAATTTTGAAACATGTAGGCTTGTGTTTGGATGGTGAGAATTTATAGCAGAAAAAAAGAAAGAGAAAAAAATTATTGACATTTTCCCCCCTTAAATTTTGAGTAGGCTGGTTGGTGCTTAAGTTGGATGGATGTAATTGAAGTATTTGATGCTTATTCTTCCATCTAGAGAAAAGAAAATACACGAACAACTTAATTCTCAAACACTCTTATAAGCTCTACGATTATATGTGGTGGAATTGTGTTATAAAACATATATATTTTTACATATATAATTTTAGAAAGTGAACGTTGCATTCATATTAGTAAAGTGTAGATTCAAATTAAAATAAATTTAGTATATTGTATGTACTTATATAAATTTTTATGATTAACAAGGAACAAAGATCTTGTTTGGAGAGTAAATTCAATTATGTTTTATGACTAAAGATTATTTCTAGCACTTATAATGTGATTTAGCATAAACCATAGGTTTTTTCATTAGACAACTGGAGAAAAATAATATTAACACAAAATAATTATAAAATAATAGAAATATAAATAATTTATGCATTAGATTATAAATAAATTTTATACTTCTTGTATCCCAGACTATTCATTAATTTTCAGAGATATGCTTTGTTTTAACCCAAAAAAATAAAATGATAAAAAAGAATAAACTTAAAATGATTTCTTGATGATTAAATCCACAGTTTTGTGTATTTTCTTGATGATTAATTAGGGTAGTTTATAATTGAAAAATACAAGAATTAATCATTATATTTTAATATTTATGTAAATACATATCTCCTATGATAAAATAATGGAAAAATACATCAAAGTTCAACCAACCATACAAGAAAAGAAAGCAACCCAACTCAGCCACTTTGGACAGATTCCAACAGTGGACACAGGGCACACAACAGAACAACAAAACAGAAGGAAAAAGGAGAAGAATGGCAAAAGCAACATGAAACAAGGAAAACAATCAAATGACGCAACCCAGATTTCAAAGATTCAATGAGATCGGGTTACATGAGAGCAAGTCAAAAATTGAAGCCATATTTAATCCCAGGCCAGCCCCCATAGCCACGAGCCCCCCCCCCTCTCTCTTTCTCCATCTCCATGGCCAGCAACCATTTCGATCTTTTCTCTTCTTTTCTTTGCCGTCGATGTACCGGAGGGAGTTCGTCGGTCATCCTTGTTGCCGTTCGTCGATTTTCCCCCTGGTTTCAACCTGGATCTGAAATGGAGGAAGATGGGTTTATGAAGAAAAGCAAAGTTTCAAAATCTCTATGAAAGATTTGAGATCCAAAATCAAAGAGGAGAGGAACAAATTCTTTACTTTTGTTTGCATTGATATAATTTTTAATTAATTTTGATTTACATTTGGATGTTCAAAGTGTTAATATGTATATATATACATATATCTTAGTTCTGGTTCTTGACATTTTTTTTTTTTTAAAAATTTGCCCCAAAACTGGGGGACCGCAGGGACCGCCGCAGAGGATCCGGATTCAATTTGGAGCAACAAATTAGGATACTCCAATAATTTCGAGCAACAAATTAGGATACTCCGCTGATCACTCTCCCTCCATATTGCACCACTTCATTCATTCATATATAGGTTCGTTGCCTTTTGGTGACACCACTACTACCTTTTACCTAATTCTCTTTCAGAACACACGATTACACAGTCTCTCTCTCTCAAAGATGAATAAGGTTTTTGCGGCCTTTTGGTACTCCGGCATTCTCCCCCTCCTCTCCTGCACCACCACCACCACCACCACCACCTTCGAAAACCATGAGAGCCTCTCACGGCCTCAATCCGCCAAGAAAGCAGGGACGAAAGCGAAACAGAACAGTAAACAGAACAGAGAGAAAGACCTAGAAAAGAAAGACGGGAAGAAGAAATGTTTCCCTCAGTGGAGGAAGAGCAAGAAAGAAAAGGATCAGCAGCCAATGTCCCCGTATTTGGCGTTGAGGCTGTTGGAGGAAGGGCAGTTGAAAAAGTAAATTCAATTTTCTCTATATTTCTCTCTCCCTCCTTCTTCTTCTTCTTGGGTGCTCCACAGAAGCTTCTGGATTTGAAGGAAAAATATCAGACATTTGTGAGGTGTGCTTTGTCCTTATTTTTGTTTTTACTAGCATTGACTCATCATTTATATCTTTATACTCATCCTTGAGATACAAGATTCTTTTGTTTCTATGGCTCTTTGATTATTTACTGCACTAGGAAAGTACTTCTAGCAAATGAATTTGCTTCTAAACAACTGTGCTTCTCAGTTTAATACAGACATACATGTTCAAGATTCTGGTGTCTTTGTAACTGAAGAAGGTGAATGTGCAAGTAGTGTTCTTACAGAAGAGCCACAGCAAGAGGTGCTGGAGATGGACCGTCTGGAAGCAGAGCTCGAGTCTGAACTGCAAAAGCTTCCTCGGTGCTCCACAGAGCTTCTGGATAAGACAGAAAAATATCAGACATTTGTGAGGTGTGCTTTGTCCTTATTTTTGTTTTTACTAGCATTGACTCATCATTTATATCTTTATACTCATCCTTGAGATACAAGATTCTTTTGTTTCTATGGCTCTTTGATTATTTACCGCACTAGGAAAGTACTTCTAGCAAATGAATTTGCTTCTAAACAACTGTGCTTCTCAGTTTAATACAGACATAATTTGTGTTGTGCAGAATGAAGATGCTTCGTTCGAAGGATTTTACAAACCAGATGGCCAGACTTCTGATTCTTGTCAATTGAGTGGGGTGTTGCCATCTGAACTGGATCAGAAACTGTCCATTTGCTCATCGAACAGCAAGAGAGCCAGATTGTAGGGCTAGAGTCTGAACTGCATTGGGCCCAATCTAAACTCCATGAGAAAGAAGCTGAACTCCAAGCATTGAAGGACTGCGTTAAGCGCCTTACTGAATTTTCACTAGCAACTTTAATTTATTTATTTTTTTAAATTTCTTCGTGCTTAAATTTTTTCTCTGTACAGCTGCATGACTAGTTTGGATTAATTTTTGTTAAATCGAGTTAAAGATTCTTTCGTTTTTTCATGATGATCCCTGTTTGGCCTCAATTTTTTTGGATTTTTACTTTTCTTTTGTTTTTTTGGGACTTGAAAATTTTTAAAAATACTAAAGCAAACAAAACAAAACAAAAAAGGAATCAAAAACAAAAACAAAACGACGACAACAAAAACAACAACAAAAAACAATCAGAAAAAAAGTTCGTATGAAATGGGCACAATTTTAGATTTCGTTGTTTAACATTGCTGCCACTCTTTGCACTTAAAAGAGTAGAGGTAAGTGGACAGATAATTTTTCACTGGGATACAAAGATGTGAGATAAATGGCAGGTCCTACATATATAGTGAATTTCACAAGTCGGACTCACTTTTTGTCTCTATTCTGTAATCCATTTTTG